AAATCCCTGGAAACCTAGTTCAATATTGGCACTACACCTTTCCTTGTACCAGATAACAGCTGGACAGGCCAAAAGAGGCTTTTTTGATAAGTCCTTTAGAAGACCTTCTTCCTAGGAAAATGGATTGAAGCCTTCAGGATCTCATATTTGATTTGGGCTGGAGTGGGGAGAAATGACAAATAGCTTTAGGAGAGTAAGCACAGAAGGTGACTGCAGGGTCCTTGGTGCTCCCTGAGTTTGGTGGTTTTCTTGCTGGCTACAACTAATAATAAGCAACTGCCTAATCGAGGAATCAATCAAGACTGCTCCCATCAACACTGACAGGGCAAGCCACTAGTATATAAAAATAAGAGCAAACCCCAGTCCCTTCCAGCACTGATGATGGTACCTAGTTTGGTAATGAAATGCCTGCAAGAAAAGCACTGAGCTCAGAGTGCACCAAGGACCCCGGGGTTCCACCCTGAGCCACAAATATTGTCGCGAATGAAGGTAAATATACGTATCCCAGGATCCTCCTACAAATATTCTCTTCTATGGAAGGACTGTGCATGCCGATAGGGCTAATGTCAGAAAAGACATATTTTGATATGTGGGGAAAAAGGAAACATGTTTTCTACTAAGTCTGTTTCCTTTTTCTCCCATCTTAATTTACGTAATCTTTTATCCTTGCAAATTAGAATATATCAAAGTTGATGAATGTGGGTTAGGACTAAGGATCTATTGAGTCTCTAGAACTGTTTCTCAACCTTGACCACATTAAGATGATGGACTTCATCTCCCAGAATTCCCCAGCCAGCATGGTTATCATGGGCCAATTTGCAGTGTTTATAAGCATCTAACCCCTCCCCAGGAACTATATAGTTAGTGTCTATATTTTCCATGCATTTTTCTTATTCTGTAGCACCCATTGTAAGAATCAAAGTAAGACAATGCTCTGATATAAACCCAGTTGAGATTACTTGCTAATCCCACTCTGCAGTTTGCAAATCACATACAGGTAGTCCTTCACTTGTAATCATTCATTTAGCGATTGGTCCAAGATACAGGGGCATTGAAAAAAGTAACTTATGGCTGATACTTGAACTTACAACTGTCACAGCATCCCCACAATCATGTAATCAAAATGTGGATGCTTTGCAACAGGCATGTATTTATGACAGCTGCAGTATCCCAGGGTGATGTGATCATTGTTTGCAACCTTCCCCTCCAACTTCTGACAAAGTCAAGGGGAGAGGAGCTGGATTTGCTTAATGACTGAGTGATTCGCGTAACAACTGCAGTGATTCACTTATTAAGCATGACAAAACATGTTGTAAAAATGGGCACAACTTAGTTAACAAAGAGCCATGGTGGCGCAGTGGTTAGAATGCAGTATTGCAGGCCAATTCTGCCCACTGCCAGGAGTTTGATCCTGACCAGCTCAAGGTTGACTCAGCCTTCCGTCCTTCTGAGGTTGGTAAAATGAGGACCCAGATTGGGGGGGGGAGGATATGCTGACTCTGTAAACCGCTTAGAGAGGGCTGTAAAGCACTGTGAAGCGGTATATAAGTCTAAGTGCTATTTCTAACTGCCTTTGTAAGCAACAGAAATTTTGGTCTCAATTATAGTCAAGGACTAACTATACAGGCTTTTTTCCCAATTTAAATTTAAAACAATCTGGTAAGAAAACCAAAAGCAAAAGCGGATCTTTAAAGGGTTAACGAATGAGGCTCCATTCTGCTTAGTTAAATCTAGGCAGATGTGACAATGACATTGGACTGGTTAGCTGGCTCTGAGTGAACATTCTGATTTCCTGCCAAATCAGCCCACTTTAGCTTTATTAATAAATCATTATGTAACATGCTATTGGCAGACACAGGTGGCACATTTTCTGAAAGGAAGCTATAACTCAAAAAATCCAAAGATTTCCCCCAGCTTCATTTTCTATCAGTGTGAACTTGAACCATTCTTTGGAGAATTGGGGAGGGGGAGCAGATCATCACTGATCTAGCTGTTATCTCATACTTCTTTCTGTACAACTCTTAGCTCTTGTTCAAAATTTTACACTCTTCCTCTGTAATCAGCATTTAATATAAAACCAAATGTGGCAAACTGGAAGAGCTTCTCCATCACTGCAAATATTCTTAGTTCCTGTAATCTCTTATCGTTGCAAATTAGAATATATTAAAGTCAGTGAATTTAGGTTAGGACGGAGGACCTATTGATCAAGGCTGTAGGTTAGACCAACGGTCCCCAACCTTTACAACCTCCCCCTGGTGGGGGCCTTTGTGTGCTGTGCACACGCACACCAGCCTGGCACTCGCACACGTTGAGCTGCATATGCACATGCACCACATACAGCCCGGTTCCAAACAGGGTTCCAAACATATCTCTGGGTTAGACTAACTTAAACAAATGGAGAAGATAGCAATGGAATAAATAACAAACTAATGAATAAATAAACCACTTTCATGTTGCAGTGAAATAACCCTACATAGCAAGTCATGAAGTCACTAGCACTACACTATCTGGCTGCAAAAACCCAGATGTCCACTAGTGATTATTTGGATTTTTTTGCAGCTTAGATAGGCTATAGCAGTGATGGTGAACCTTTTAGAGACTGAGTGCCCAAACTGCAACCCAAAACCCACTTACGCATCATCGGGTGCTGGGTGGGTGTGGCCCATTGGCTGGGCGTGGCTGTGGTGGTAACGGCAGACTGGGTGGGACTAAAAAGTTCAACCAATCAATTCCAACTTTGCAAGATCTTTTTTTTCCTGCGAGTTGAAATTGACTGATTGAACCTTTTTTTTTTTTTTGCACACGGTGGCGGAGGCCTAAAGTGAAAAGGTTTTATAAAACTCAGCTGAAGGCCTAGGACTGGGGCGACGGTGCGTGTGCCCACAGAGAGGGCTCTGAGTGCCGCCTCCGGCACCCGTGCCATAGTTTCGCCACCACTGGGCTATAGCCTTTAGAGACTTTTTACTTGCTCTGTCAATAAAAGGTTCTTTCCAACAGCTCTTCCCCTGGGAACATACCTACTCATGGATCACTATAGAAACAATTCCTCCTGGAAGTTACAAGGTTGTTCTAACCCATCTGTTTTTTTCTTTTTCCTGAAGTCAAGGTGAGTCATAGCAGAAGCAAATGAAACTGATTCAGATCTGCAATAGCTGCCTTTTATGTGAGACAGAGCGAAGAGAGAGGGGACACAGTTAAGACCTAAAACTGTCCTTTAGGAAGCTTTCATATGTGAGGAGTAACAGAGTAACAGAGTTGGAAGGGACATCGGTGGTCTTCTAGTGCCAGGGCCGCATCAGCATTGTGATGCCCTGGGGGGGGGCCAAGGAGGTGCCTCTGCTGCCTCTGGCACGCAAAAACCAGGGGCGCAAAAATGGGCCACTGTGCTGCAAGGCGCAAAAATGGCTGCCACCGCGCTGCAGGGTGCAGATACAAGGCGCTGCACCACACAAGAATGGGGCCGCCCCATTTGCAGCGCGTGCATGCTCGCGGCCCCATGTGCACATGTAAAATGCTTCCCCCTCCCTTTTCTTCCAGTCCACCATTCGACAATGGTTGGTGATCTCTGTTCTACCACCTCTATTAGAGCTTGCTAATCGGCCGCTTCACCTCCTTTGTGCTGGGGCAGCGGTGGTGGCGGCGGTGGCGGCGCGCGTGCCAACAGAGAGGGCTTTGAGTGCCGCCTCTGGCACCCGTGCCATACCTTTGCCACCACTGTCCTATACCACTTCTGATAAATGGCTGATCTCTTTTTAAAAGCTTCCAGTGATAGAGCACCCACAATTTCTAAAGGCAACCTATTCCACTGATTAATTGTTCTCACTGTCAGAAGTCCGTGAAATCATTAGTCTTTTCAAACTTAATTTTTGTTTTTTTAGTTCTGAACAGGAATGAGCAAAACTGTACAGGCAGCCCTCAACTTATGACCACAATTGAGCCCAAAACTTCTGTTGTTAAGTGAGACATTTGTTAAGTGAGTTTTGCCCCATTTCATGGCCTTTCTTGCCACATTTGTTAAGTGAATTACTACAGTTGATAAGTTAGTAATCTAGTTGTTAAGTGAATCTGGCATCTCCATTAATTTTGCTTGCCAGAAGGACGCAAAAGCTGATCACTTGACCTGGGGACACAGCAAAAGATGAACCGGTTGCCAAGCATTTGAAGTTTGATTCCACGATCATGGGGCTGCTACAAAGGTCATTAACTGTGAAACAAGGACATAAGTCACGTTTTTTTTTAGTGCCGTTGCAACTTTGAACGGTTACTAAATAAACTGTTGTAAAGCTGAGGACTACCTCTATTGGTTAAATCTGCTTTTTTTGTTGTTGTTGTTGCCATTGGATGCCCTTCAAATGGCTGCAAATGATTCATCCTGGCATTTCTAGTCATTCTGCCAGAATGAAAAAAGTGCCTGATCGTCCATAACGTTCCTAGCAATTTTCGGAGATGAAAAGGGGGGTGGGGGAGATGAGAAAGAGCCCCCCCCAGCCCTTACTGTAATTTGCTAAGCGCCGTTATGGCCACGTTAGACAAGAAAACAGTCGGGAGAGCGGGCGGAGGCGAGGTGAGTTCCGGAAAGCGGCCGAACAGATGCCAGGCGGGGGATTAGAGAGACCGGCGAAGCTCCGGCAGCTTCTGTGACTGGCTCAGCGAAGCATCTCTCAACTCCCCGCCGTCGCCCCCCTCCTCTCCCTCCTCTTCCTCCGCCTTATAAGCGCGTTCGGGAGGCCGGTTGGCCAGACTTGAACTGAGCCAGGCGAGCTCGGGCCGCCGCTGCAAACCAGGGCTTGCTCTCTGTCGCGCGCGCACGCTCCGAACCGGTCCCCTGGCTGGAGCGGCGCGCGTTTCCCGGAGCGCTGGTGGGCAGGATCGGGGCTACAGGGACCTCGCTCTACGCCTGGAGCAGAGGCGCCCGACGGCCCGAGGGCGCGCATCTCCATCGGGGCCCCAAAGCACCGACGCGCTCCCTCCCTCCCTCCCTCCCTCCTCGCTAAGCCTTAATGCCCGGCTGCGGGGCTGCGCCTCCTGCCGTCGGAGCCCTGAGGGCGCCTAGAGGAGCCGAAGAGCCGGCGAAAGTGGCGGCGGCGTTGGCGGCGGCAGCGCCTCCAGCGAGCAGCCGGGAGCTGGAAGTGCGCGGGGGCGCCGCTTCCTCCTCGTCTTCGCTGCCCGCGGCGGTGCGGGGCGCGCTGGAGCTGGCGGAAGCCCGGCGGCGGCTGCTGGAGGCGGAGGGGCGGCGGCACCTGGTCTCGGAGCTGGAGAGCCGCGTCCAGCACCTGCACCGCGTCTTCCTCGAGGCCGAGCTGCGCATGGCCACCCGCGCCGAGACGCTCGGCCGCCTGGGCAGCGGCGTGGCGCAGGCCGAGCTGCACCTGACGGCGCACGGGCAGCGGCTGAAGAAGAGCGCGCGGCGCTACAAGAAGGCCCGCCCGCCCGCCCTGCTGGCCTCGGCGCTGGCCCTGAGCAGCTGCGTGCCTTGGGCGGCCTGCCGGATGCGGCGAGGGGGCGGCCCGGAGCCCCCGGAATCCCCGTTCCGGAGGAGTTTGCAGGGCGCGACGCCTTTGAGCCAGACGGAGCCCTTATCCGGCGCGGAGCAGCGGAAGAGCAGCGCCGCCGCTTCCTGAGCGTCCCCGGTGGGCTGCAAACGGGCAGGGAAGGACGCGGAGCGGGATCGCCGCCGAATCCCGACAGGGAGGGGGAAAGGGAGGCTGCTGGAAGTGGGAACCGTGCGGCGGCAGCTCCTCCTCCCTTCGATGCTCGTGACTCTCGCCGCATTAACCGGTGGCCGCTCCTCTGCCCATCTCCCGCGTACTGGCTTTCGCCCAGCCTGTTAGACTTTCCTAAACTCGGATTTGATAGATGGGGGTTTAGCCACAGCTTTGGCTTATGCTACGCATCAAGCCAGCATCTAGTTATTTGGGCATGGCTTGTTATATGAATACTGCAATTGGCATTTGGTTGACTCACGGTTGTTGGAGACCTGTTTTATAACCCAGTGTGTTATCTGACAGAATGCAGGGACATCAGTAATTTCCCTATCACTATAAATTATAGAATTAATAATCCAGTGTATTTGAAATTAATGCCCTGAAATGCAGAGCATATATTTTAGAGGGAAAAAAAAAATCCTTTCAGACTTTCTAAAACACCGGATGGAATGCTGAAGAAGCCTTGTACTTTCCTTTCAAATGACGCCAATTATTTTTCAATATAATTCTTTTTAAATAATAAGATTGAAATTCCTGTTGTATCTAGATTTTCTAAATAGAGTACATGCTTGCCAGCTGAATGTTCATCTGCTTAGCTTAATACAGTACTATTTCAACCATTTTTGCAATATTCTGTACTTGAGTTAACATTTTTAATGCAGAGGACAGTAAAGCAGTAATCACTTTTTTTTTTTTTAAAAAAAAGCTAAATCGGTTGGGTATGTTGTCAACTTTATCTAGTGTTCTATGAACAAACTTAAAACTAACATACACCCTAAAATTAGTTCAAGCATATACAAAATATTTTAGTAAATTGATCTCTCTCTCCCCCCCCCCCTTCACACACACAGTTCTCTAGTAGCGTCTGAAATGCAAAGGTTGGAAGCAGCCCAGAGAAAGTGGATAGTGCACTGACTTGGTTTGATAAGTCAGCCTTGTTTCCAATCAGCAGGGCAATAGTTGCTTTGATCTTTATCTCTTCAAACTCTTTAGTCCATCCTTCTCTGACACATTGTTCAGCATCAGTTCTCTGAATCCCTAATAACCATGGCACTGGGGAGGGTTGCTTGACTCAGTGGGGATCCAGGGAGAAGAAATACGGTACTAATGGATTTCTAGGTAGCCTGGAAGGCCAGAAAGAGCTGTGTGTTTCTGCCAGCTTTTTGAAGCAAGGAGTAGCTTACATGATGCCTTCAGACCCTTATGTGCTGCTAAACACCATAGAATTCTCTGTATAACTGAGAAATTGATGTGCATGGGCAGAATTGAGTGATTAGGACTCTTTGTTCTTTGCATTTTCAATACAAGTTTCTTGGTCTTCTGAATTCATGCGGTGTGTTAATCTGAAGCACAATATGCAGCAAATGTAACACTGATTTCTTCATTTAGCAGGTCTGGGAGTATGGTGTACACATACACACATATTTATACTGCTTCTTTGAAGCTGAACACCGAAATGTTTTTCAAAACATGAATAGGCCATCCTAAAAATGCTTTTGGAGAAAAGCCTCACTGTTTCAGTTGGGTAGAACTGCATGTTATCCACTAATAGAGCCATAAGAGCCAATTTGTTACGGTGGTTAAGGCCCCAGGCTACAAACTAGGTCTAGGAGATAGTGAGTTCTAGTGCTGCCTTAGGCACAGAGGAAACTGGGTGACCTTGGGCCAGTCCCTCTCTCTCAGCCTTGGGAAAGAGGCAGTTGCAAACCACTTCTGAAATCTTGCCAAGAAAACTGCAGGGATTCATCCAGGCAGTTGCTAGGAATCGGCACTGGTTTGAAAGCACACATAAACAGTATCAGCTGAAATGGCATCATATACCAATTGTAAAAACACAAGAATATGGCTTTAAATTTTGGCTCATTTTTTGCAACAACATCGCCATGCTAGTTTAGGCAGCAATCAACACTATAAAGATGTACAGCGTTTTATTGTTTGCTGTATTGGTTTTCCACATGTGGGGCGAGTAGCAGTGGGGAAGCAGGAAGAGCTGATTGAGGGGAAACAGGCCCTGCAAAGGTTCAATTGGCAATTTCCTGAAAAATATTGTTGCCAACCTCGAAAATCGCTGGTATTACATTTTTTAAACTTCTGATCTCTTATCTGGAGACTGCCAACTTTAGGAAAAGTTGATGTAAACTATGGTGACATCTAAAAAACACATGCAAACATAACCCGTGTCATTAAAAAAAAAATCCACCTCTTAATGGTTGCATGTCAGGTTTTTATTAAAGGCAGAAGAATAGGACTGGCAGATGGTGAAAAGTGGAAATCCTGGATAGGCATTAATTATAGTTAAATGCTGCCCTGATTGAAAATGATATAAGCAGGGATGAAATCAAGAACAAATGCCTTTGTTAGCTTAGGTTTTCCATGAAGTGTGTCTATTACCTGAGCATATAATAACTTTCTTCTTTGAAATATACAGTACAGGAGCTTAATAGTAGATGGGTTCACCACCAAAATTAACTTGGCTACTGGATTTCTCTGTTTTCATGGTTGACATACGTTGAATCATTTAGCTGGCTGGGTTCATACAACACACTGAAAATGAGTTAAAACTCAGCTATCTAAACTTAACATGCAATGTAAATACAGCTGCTAGATATTTAGCTGACCGTGCTAAGTATGCTCTCCCAAAGCAGTGGATGTACAGTAATACTAAAATGTATAGGCAGAAGTAAATCCTGTAGAATTTGACCTTTTGTAATCCCAGCTAAGTGGGCATAGAATTGCATTCAAAAAAAGCCCAGCGTTTCAGCCCAGCAGATGGCTTGATAACAGCTTTTATTTATAGAGTAAAAAGTAGGTTGGATAAAGAAAAGTGGGCACAGGTTTCAAATATACTTTGAGGGAGGATTAACATTCGTTCTGATCTAGCTGCCTGTAATGTTTCTATGTCCAAAAAAAATAAATAGGAAAGCTTGATTTTCTTTCATTATATTTCATCAGGAACGCCTTCGGTTGCCTACAATGGTATCTCTGTGAAACAAAACTTGAAGTTATTTGAGCAACTTTGATGCGTATCTTTAAAAATAGAGAAAAAAACCCACTTACAAAAATTGGTTTGTGGGAACACAAGGAAGAGATCCAGTTACATCAGGGGTGTCCAACCTTGGCAACTTTTAAGATCTGTGGACTTCAACTCCCCAAAATCTCCAGCCAATCCACGTTGGCTAGGCAATTCAGGGAGTTGAAACCCACAAGTCTTTTTTTTTTTTTTTTTACAAATATCAGCACATAGCCCCCCAACAATCTGGGTCCTCATTTTACCAACCTCGGAAGGATGGAAGGCTGAGTCAACCTTGAACAGATGAGAATCGAACTGCTGAATTGCTGGCAATCTGGCAGTCAGCAGAATTAGCTTGCAATGCAGCATTCTAACCACTTATCAAAGCCCACAAGTCTTAAAGTTGTCAAGGGTGGGCATCCTTGATTTATATGGTTTGTTGTATTTATATGGTTTGTTTTAAGGCCCCATCATTTCTGATGGATAATTACTCTGCTGGAATGAATATATGTTTTTTTTTTAGCATAGGCATCCACTGGAAAGAAACATATCATTTGTACCTAAATAAATATATTTTTCACTGTATATTGTCTATGACATTGCATCAGAAGTGGGAAGAAAAAGATGAGATGCCAAGGTGAGCAAATCTTACACAGGTTGATACCTTGGGAGAACAACGTGGGTTATGAGCGAGGACTCCTATGGATCATATGAACATCCAGGGAGCCTGAAGTACATCCTTGAACTCAAGAAGACTTCAGCAGGAGTTTGCATTTCACACCTTTGATCTACAAATGGGAAATCCGGAGTAGCCTTATTCCAAAGTGGAGTGCTTCTTAGCTAGATTCATGGAAATTGGAAGGAGGGAAAACAGCCCCACCACTAGAGACTATAAGCTGTAGGCAAAGGCATTGTTGGGTGCTCGAAAAAAGCTGCAACCTTGGTGAGCAAATGGAAATAAAAATCCAGTATCTTGCTTAGTTGGGATGGCATACGTGAATGGTAGGCCGGGGTGAAAAACAAGAATGCAATGTATAAAACAGGAGACAATTTTCTCCATTCAATCTTAATTTAAGATTTAGCAGCAAACTCAATGCTGACTATCCTTTTAGAGGTAAACGCAGCTGTGTGTGAGCTGAGGCTGAGAACCAAAGAGGGCTGTGGAACCACAAAAAGGGATCCATTTCAGCTGCATTTTTCCCTGGCCTGGAAAAACATGGGTTTAACTGCCAGGCTTCTAGACAGTTTACAAAGGAAGGTTAAGATCCTATCTCTTGGGTGTAAAAAAGTCCTTGAATCAAAGTCTCAGGATCTCCAGGTAGATCTGGAAAATATATCTATCTGGTGTCCAATAATCTGGTAAATCGAGGTAAATCCAGAAATCCAGATCAGTGCTCTGGATCAATACAAGATAGGAGTCTAGGATTTTTATATGCTGGAAGAATGGAAGACCAGCTCCATACCAGCATAGACCCACTGTCTATAGCAGCATTTCTCAACCTTAATAAATTTAAGATGGGTAGACTTGCAACTTCCAGAATTCTGGGAGTTGAAGTCAACCTATTTTAAAGATGCCAAGGTTGAGAAATATTGTTTTACAGTAATTGGCAGCAACGTCTCATATCCCATCTAGCAAAATAAGGGAAGGAGGTGGAGGAATTTTCATGGGGCACAGAGAAGGCAGAAGTCCACCTTTATGGGACTGGCATAACCGGAGAGGATGGAAGTATAACACATTGTACACTTCAGCTTATGGGAGATTGTCTGAGTTGGTCCTCATAAAACTGATTCCCTTCTGTAACAAACCAACATTCACCCATTCAGAACACAGAGATTTCTGGTGCCTTCAAATCAATGCAAATCAATTTACTGCAAAATGCTTTGATGATGGTGGTGTGATTCAAAGTTGCCAGGCAAGAATGTAGAATGCAAATGAGGTGGGCGGAGCTGCATAGGAGATAGGTTTGTGACATCTACTGCTCCAGTTTGGGGTGTGGTTTAATGAGTAACTGGAGGAAATCCATGGATACATTAAATAAAGGTAATTCTTCGTGGACTTGATCAGTTGAGTTGTTTTGGTGGGTGACAGAAATCAAGTGATTAAGTCACAGATCTAGTACTGATGCTTCCAAAGATGTTGATGCTTCTTTTCGTCTTCCTGTTGCAAGCCAGTGCTGGGAAGGGAGCACCATCCTTTAATGACACCCTAATTATAGGCATGAGGCTGGAGAATAGTAGCAAGGCCCAGACAAGCATTTTGGAAAAGGGCATGATCCAAGTGGTGGAAGGAAGCCTGATTCATCTTCGGATCTATGGTAAAGGCATCCACAAATTCACCTGGCAGAGGATTCGGTTTGTGGAGACTTCTTCCTTGAGTACTTTTGAAAGGAACTATTCAATCTGCCCTGAAAGAACAAGTGATTTATTGATACAGCCAAAAAGTGATGAGGTGCAAAATACTTCTGCAATACTCTCTGTGAAGGTTCAAATCCTGCGGAAGAATATCCACTTCAAGGACTACATGATGTGCCTTGAGGATCATCATGGGAGATCATACCAGCTGCTCAAGGATAGTCATCTGCTCCTCCGAGTGGTAGAGGACAATAGTTTGCACCTACCACTCTGGCTTCAAATTATCTTAGTACTTATGCTCTTGTCACTCTCAGCGATGTTTAGTGGTCTCACCCTAGGCCTAATAGCCCTTGATCCTATGGGATTGCGCATTGTGAAAAATTGTGGCACGCCTAAGGAGAGGGAATATGCCACCAAGATTGAACCCCTCCGAAGGAAGGGGAATTATTTGCTCTGTTCTTTGCTGCTTGGTAATGTTTTAGTCAATTCTTCTCTCACCATATTGTTGGACACAGTTATTGGGGAAAACATGTGGTCTATTGTGATCTCTACTATTGCCATCGTCCTCTTTGGGGAGATCCTTCCACAGGCCATCTGCTCCCGTCATGGTTTGGCAATAGGTGCCAATACCATCTTCATCACCAGGTTGGTTATGGTTATCACATTCCCAGCCTCTTACCCTATTAGTAAGATCTTGGACTACCTACTTGGGAAAGAAATGGGCACCGTCTACAGCCGAGAGAAACTGATGGAGATGATTAGATTGACTCAGCCTTATAACGACCTGCTGAAAGAAGAGCTGAATATCATCGAAGGAGCCCTGGAGTTGAGGACTAAGACGGTGGAAAATGTCATGACCCCATTAAAAGACTGCTTCTTTATCAACAGTGATGCCATCCTGGATTTTGATACAATGACAGAGATTCTAGAGAGTGGCTACACACGGATCCCAATCTATGAGAATGAAAAGGCTAACATTGTTGACATGTTATATGTCAAAGATCTTGCATTTGTTGACCCAGATGATCACACCCCACTCAAGACAATCACCAAGTTTTACAACCACCCAATCCATTATGTCTCCGACACTACCACATTGGATGCTGTGCTTGAAGAATTCAAAAAAGGTAATGACAGATTGTATTTAATGCTGGCTTTCGGATGTTCATAAAATAGAACAATTTGGGATGTTTAGAATAGGCAAAAGTGGCTGTCCTAGTCTTTTAAAAAAAAATGGTTGTGGTCAGTCACACAATTACCTCCAAGTAGGTAGTAAATTAACTTTTCTGGAGATTTGCACAATTCCTGCTCATATGAACACACTTCTCCCTCTCCTAAAAGTTTTGTAAAGATCTAATAGTTCTGTTTAAGTCTGAATAAGGAGAATATATATATATAGTAATAAAAGCCTATAAGAAAATAAATTAAGAGTAGCATTTTTTTAATAAAAGTATATTTGCAATAGAATTTATTATTATTGTTATTTTAATTTTAATTTTCCTTTTTTCACTATACAACAAAAATAAAACTGAAAAATACATTTTTTCCCTTAACAAAACTGTGTTATGCATCTCATATATATTATTTACAATTTATTTACATCAGTAATCATGTCTTTTTCTTTCTTTGTTCTAGCCAATCATAACATTTGTTCCATATTTCATAAAATTCTGTTGCCTCCATGTCTTTTAATTCTAGCGTTAAGTTTATTCATTTCCGCGCATTCAAGAATTTTGTATATAACCATATCGTTTGTAGGTATGTTTTCACCCTTCCAACACTGAGCATATACTATACGGGCTGCTGTCAATATATGTATAATGATGTGTTGGAGTTGCTTTTTGATCTTTAAATTTATTATACCCAGAAGAAATAGTTCAGGTTTGAATTCAATTTGCACCTTGGTTATCTCCTGTATCCAGTTCCTTATCCGTTCCCAATAGCTCTTTGCTTTAGGGCACAGCCACCACATGTGATAGAATGTTCNTATTTATCAGACATAACTTTTACAAGGTTTTACAAAACTGGAATCTATTTTTAAAGAACTATTTTGATGTGACTCTAGACTAGACAGATAACTAAATCTGTTCCACAGGTAAGTCTCACCTGGCCATTGTCCAAAAGACGCATGAGGTTAGCCACGAACAAATCTCTGAAGTGGTGGGCTTAGTAACCTTGGAGGATGTCATTGAAGAAATCATCAAGTCTGAAATCGTGGACGAATCGGATATTTACGGTTAGTTTTATTCTTAAATAGTTGTAGAAAATAGCCGTATCCATATGCGTGAGGGAGACAACAACAGGCAGAATCTCACGCTTTATGAACAGTCCCACTTTTTGTGGGACTTTAAAGATGAGTGTGTTTATTATTGCATAAAGATTCTGGTAATCATCATAATAAACAAATTAGTCTTTGAAGATCCTACAACAGACATGTCAAACACAAGGCCAGCGGGCCGGATGCGGCCTGGGGAGGGCCCAGATTTGGCCCCCTGGGGCTGTCCCAGAAATGGCAAGGGACCGGCCCCTGCTGCCCCAGCCCACCGCAACCCTTGGAGCACGTGCAGGAAACAGCGAAGCATGCAGCAGCAGCAGCGCATTTGCTTTAGCCCACCCCTCCCCTCCCCCTCCCAGCTTAACCCCGTCAGGTCTGGTCCGGAGTGGAAGAGGAGGAGGTGGAGGAAGCCCACAAAAAAGGAGAGGTTCCCCCATTCTTCCACCCCTTCTCTTTTTTTTTTTTTTAACTTCCTCCCATTCCGTTCAGGTGCAGCTGAGGAAAAGGATGAGGAGGAAAAAACAGGAAGTGTGTGTGTGTGTGTGTGTGTGTGTAAGAGAGACAGAGACAGAGCCAGGAGGGGAGGAGGAAGCCGAGGTTTTACAAAAAAGGAGAGCTTCCATCTTTCTCCCCCCTCCTCTTTTTATTAACCTGTGTGTGTGTGTGTGTGAGAGAGAGAGAGAGAGAGAGAGAGAGATTGAGCCAGCAGGGAGTTGCAGAGTAAGCAAACTTACAAAAAGGGGATCGCTCTCTCTGCCTCTCATACACAAACACACATACACGGGAAGGTGGTATGCAGGCGGCTAGAGAGCAAACTTGCAGATTAGCTTTGTGGTCTATTCTTGCCTCCTCCCCTCCCTAAAATCCAGGCAATAATAAAAGTCTTTGGATTGAATGGGAAGTTAGGAATTGGTGTGAGTTGAAATTAAAAGGCCGAGTCAACTCCCCCCCCCCAATTATTTTGTCGGAGACAAAAATATTTCCCTTCATCTGCTCTTTTATAATTTAATCCAGCCTTACCCAAACTAATATATTTTGGGTGTCACGAACCACAGTTCCCATCATCCTGTGGCTATGCTGGCTAGAAATGCAATGCCTTATTTTCTCTGCAGTATGCGCCTAGGAGGCAGGAGGTCTGTGGGATTTAGATGTATTTAAACATTTGTTTCTTCTGCCTAATTTATTAAATCAACATCTAATCTGAAATTAAAAGTTTCTAAGAAATCCAGGGTGGTTTACAAGAAAACTCTCAAAGACAGCTATTGTAAAGCATCACTAGCACTGCTTAAAACAATATTAAAAGTATGTCTTTTAAGAAAGAAAAATAGTAGTAGTAATTTACTTAGTGCTGTTTGACCATAAAATGTGTTGTTGTTTTACATATGCCTGGCTGAACAGTGTGTTTGGAGTTGCCTCTAAACGGGTGAGGGTTGCACTGTTCATATTTTCCTTGGGAGAAAGTTCTATAATGGGGGTGCTGTCTCTGAGAAGGCTCTGCTTGTGGCCACTGTTCTATAAACCAAACCAGGGGGACCATCTGGTCTAAATGGATGGTAAACATAGATGATTAGGGGGCTGGAGGCTAAAACATA